AAAACCACTCACACCAACAGGGTTACCACCGACACCCACATCCACAAGACTAGCAGACATGGCTGAAATCACGGAGGACAATGCCTGACCATCGTGAATACCATTCTTCCCTAGATCTAGTACACGTACATGGCTACACCTCTGTAAGCCTGCCGATAAGCTGTGAAATGACGCATCGCCAATGCTACACCCAAAGAGGTTGACTACCTCTAAATCACTACACGTATAGCCACGCAGTAAAGAACTGAGAGCAACACATTCATGAGAAGAAAGAGAAACATAATCGAGATTGAGCTTTGATGCAAGCATAGCACGAAAGAAAGAGTGTGTCCAGTTGCAGGACACACCGTGATACTCTGCATGCTCATGATATGCCACAACAAGATGAACAAACAACCTACGTATAGGAGATTCAGCAGCAGAAAAAAACTGAGCAGCATCAGCTAGACTTACAATGCCAGAAGGAGCAGCTTGCAGGGATTCACGACTCAGCAGCATAGCAGCGGGATGAAGCAGACTCTCGCACGGCCGCGCCAGCTCGGCATCCACCTGGGATAGCGCTTCCAGCAGCACAGTGCCATTTGCAACACTGCCGTTCTCCATCCACACCGTCAGGAGAGTATTTAGGAATAGCGCGTCTGTGGGCTCTCGGCTGATGGGCATGGAACGGCGCACGCGTTGCCCACCATGGCCCTTGCCACGGTCATGCTGAGGAATGAGGAGAATGTCGGCGAGGACTGTCATGTGCTCAGCCTTCAGTACCTGGCAAAGTCGGTCGTGGACCTTTGCCATCTCCATCTCACCGGTCAGGACACTTGAGTCGTTGCGCATGTCCCCGGCTAGCTTAGCGGCGGTGGCAGCACGCCTAGCGGCAGTAGCAGCATGTTTGGTAGCCTTCGTAGTCTCGAAGGAAGCCCACACCTCTTGCCCGTCGCTGACCCGTCTGTTAGCTCGTTTGGTGTATTCGTCGGCCTCTCCGCTAGGATCCAGTGGTATGGGATCCTCACACTGCACACGCCATAGCTCCTCCATGATGGTCAGCGACACGTCTTCCGGGCATTGAGCAATGAGAAACTTCCAGAACATTGCCATATGGCCATCGTACGCGCCCAGTCGCCGTACCAGTGCAATGGCGTGATGTCTTTCTTGCACCACACATTCTGCCTGAAACCATGCCGCGAGGAACTCCTGCAGTGACAGATGGCAGAAGCGGTATTGCCGAGCGTCCGTAGACATTGTGCCTTGGCATGTTTGCAGAAGACCCAAGCTCATTGCATCCTTGCTCAAGTGGGAGTTGATGATGTCGGACGTGTTGAACACCATCCTTTTCACCAGCAGCATGCGAAACGCAAAACGCCCCAGTTCCTGTAGCGACTGGACCACTTTGCCGGATGCCAGTGAAATCGACTCGCAAACCGCACCACCAGCGCGTTCAACGACTCGGCGCAGTAACGATTCGTACAGGGATGCGCTGGACTTCAACAAACCTATGCTGCTCTTGAAAAGCTCACAGGTTAGGGCTGCAAACATGGGAGTTGCCATAAGACATGACACATCCGGCTTGTTCTGCAGCTCGGCCAGCAGAATTTCAGCGCGCTGTCTACCGAGAACCTTCTCCGCGTACTCCCTCACGTTCTCCGGTGAGAAACCCAGTACTTGG